GGTCTTCAGCATACTGTCAATGTAATCTATGTGCTCGTACAAGCAGACCATTTAGCACTGACCGGGAGACTGAATGAACTACAACAGCGTCGCGATAGTTCAATGAGAACTACAAGTTGACATCCGCAAAGGATGTCGGTACTTGTAGTTAATTCATTCATAGAACACTGGGAATGAATGATGCGGCCGTGTGGACAGAGCTCCAGCTAGTATCCAGCTCCTGCCAGCTAGTATCGGGAACTTCTCCCTGTACTCCTGTCACAAGGGGGTCAGCTGCAGCTGCAGTAGTGGGAACATGTTACATGCTCCACCCTAAAAACCAATGGAGCATTTAATATGTTCCCAAAGGTGAAGTTATCCTTTAAATTTCTTACAAAAGATAGAAAAAACGAGTCAGCTCAAAGAAATGAAAACATTTCATTAAAGACTATAGAGAAAATACTGTATTATTGTAATGTACCCAATAATACCGTAAAATACATAAACCATGGACATCAGGTTCACATTACAGTTTGTCTCTTAAAAGCTCATCTTTCTTATGATAATATAAAGATTATATTATAATATCAGTTATTTGCTACAACCTAATGTACAGTAGTAATGGTCATCTCCATCTAATAGCCAACCTGGACACTACTTAGTTCAATGTTAACCCACTAGAACACACATATGAAACCTCCAGACAGGGGCGGACTGACCATTTGGAAACTCAGGCACTGCCCAAGGGCCGGGGGTCAGTAGGGGGCCCCATGAGATCGCCCTTGGTACCTTTTTCATAGGCTTTTTTGAGTTTGGGCAAGGACACAGGGGCCCCATGATCCCCTATTGCCCGGGGCCCCATGAGTTGTCAGTCCACCCCTGCCTCCAGAAAACTGTGAGGGGGGGCCCAAGGTTTCAGCTGCATAGGGGTCTCCACTGAGTTTAATCTGGCACTGGCGATTGCTGTCACTTATGGGCAAGTCCTCACCTTTGTATAAGTTCCAAGCTGACTTACACTGGAAGGAAAGTATACACTGCTGGTTCAGCCACTATAAAATCAACCTGCTACTTTGCCCTGCATAGGCAGATATACTGACTAAATAATATACACTGATTTGGGGTATAATGAAACACCTGTTTTTTTTAATAATTTTCAGTCTTTCATTTATGTAGCAAAAAATAAAAAACCCAGTGGTGATCAAATACCACCAAAAAAAAGCTCTATTTGTTTTGAACTAAATGATAAAAATTTAGTTTGGGTAGAGTGTTGTATGACTGTTCAATAGTCATTCAAAACGCGACAGCGCTGAAAGCTGAAAATCAGCCTGGGCAGGAAGTAGGTCAAAGAGCCAGTAAAACCACTATTGAAGTGGTTAAATTATATCTAAATACATTTTTTTGTTTTCAATTTTTTTTTTCACCGCAGCAATGATGAAATATATTCAGAAGTTGCGTTTTTAAAAACAAGCCTGCAGTGCCATCTACAATAGTTGTGTTCTGACAAACTGCAATTTAAGACTGTGGAGTTAAACTCATTTAGCCATTTAAAAGTATGGAATTTTCATTCAGGTCAGACGTACCCCTTAGAGGGAGAATCAGTGAAGCACAGTCACTATAATGTAATCATAATGAGCAAAAATGTCACCTTACATAGATACTAACAAACTACAGAAAAAAACTACTTCTTATTATTAAGATTATTTGCATCAAGGTAAGCTATAATGGTTTTTCGTCACTTGTGTTTAATGTTTTTTTTTTGTGTTTACAAGTTTATCACATTTTTTAAATATTGTATAATCTCTTCTATTAATTTAATAACATTTTAATTTTACAAATAAATATTTAAAGGATATCTAGATTGTAACCTCATAACATATGCTATCTCCAGCCCTTACATAGCGCCAAATACAAACCTGAGATCGATGAGTGACCCTATTCCTGTGCCACGGGCAAAGCTGGGTCAGGCAGCTCTTCTATGCTCCCCACTTAGTTGGCAAGCCATATTGTTCTACACATGTGTGGCCTTTGCTCCATAGAGAAGCCTGCAACTAGCCCCAAAATAGACAGCTTCTTCATTAGGGCTTGTAGTGGAGAAATGTGTAGAATAAACCATGGCCCACCAGCTTCATCTGGAAGAGGGAAGAACAACCCAAGCCTATGTTGCCAGCAACCAGTAGAAGAGGTCACTCACTAATCCGATGTCTGTAGAATCCCTTATATGTGGGATAAGGAACATGAGAGGGGGTCGTTAGTCTCATAATGTTTAAAACTATTGTTATGCTTTCATACTGCATGCTAACAGTTTTTGTTTTGTTTGAAGAGCTTGCTGGGTTTTCTAATGCAAAAAAAGCCCAGCACTAGCTCTGCAGTTTTTGTGCTGCTTCCTTCTCAGTGAATATCAATACAGGGATAAATCAGCAGACCAGGAGATGGGGTGTTTTCCCTCGTGTGGTGCATTTATCATGTTCTTAATACAGCTAAACAACCAGAGATCAAATTATACCCCATCATTCTTCACAATACAGAAGTACAACACTGCAAAACACCTCAAGGCACCAGACTCTACATCTCCTTCTGCTGCCTGCACGTGGTTAATATTAAAGATTAACATGCAACATCTGAAATATACCTAATCAAATGAAATCTATTTTTGCTATTTTTTTTTACTTTAAATAGATACATCAATAAATGCAATATACAGTATACAAAAGCACCACATAGCTTATCATATACATAGAAAAATAAATACATAATTAAAAAAAAAAAAAAAATATATATATATATATATATATATATTTGTGTTCAAAATAATAGCAGTCAGACATCACTAACCTGATCAATCACTGTTTTTGGTAGAAATGATATTTCTACATGGCAAATAATTTACTAGCAGGTGTAGTAGAGTAATAGAAATCCAACAGACCCAACAGTCATGACATGCATGCTGCTGATTCTGTGTAATTGAATCACTAATTGAAAGGGGCATGTTCAAAATAATAGCAGTGTGGAGTTCTATTAGTGAGGTCATTCATTGAAAAACAGGTGGCAATTATTGCCCTTATTTAAGGAAGGAAGGCAGAAATGTTGTACATGCTGGTTAGAGTGCATTTCTCTCCAAAATTCTGACGAAAATGGGTCGTTCCAGACATTGTTCAGAAGAACAGCGTACCTTGATTAAAAAGTTGATTGGAGAGGGGAAAACATATAAAGAAGTGCAGAAAATGATAGGCTGCTCAGCTAAAATGATCGCAAATGCTTTAAAATGGCAACCAAAACCTGAAAGACGTAGAAAAAAGGCAAAAAACTACCATTCGAATGGATAGAAGAATAGCCAAAATGGCAAGGACTCAGCCAACAATCAGCTCCAGGAAGATGAAAGAAGGTGTAAAGTTAACTGTGAGTACTGTTACAATTAGAAGACTCCTATGTGAAGCCAAGCTATCTGCAAGAAGCCCCCGCAAAGTCCCACTGTTGAAAAAAAGACATGTGCTGAAGAGGTTACAATTTTCCAAAGAGCACATTGACTGGCCTAAAGAGAAATGGCGCAACATTTTGTGGACTGATGAAAGCAAGATTGTTCTTTTTGGGTCTAGTGGCCGGAGGCAGTTTGTCAGACGACCCCCAAACACTGAATTCAAGCCACAGTACACTATGAAGACAGTGAAGCGTGGTTGCGCAAGCATCATGATATGGGGATGTTTCTCATACTACTGTGTTGGGCCTATTTATCGCATACCAGGGATCATAGATCAGTTTGAATACATCAGAATACTTGAAGAGGTCATGCTGCCTTATGCTGAAGAGGAAATGCCCTTGAAATGGGTGTTCCAACAAGACAACGACCCCAAACACACCAGTAAACGTGCAACATCTTGGTTCCAGACCAACAAGATGGACATTGGAGTGTCCAGCCCAATCCCCGGATCTTAATCCAATAGAAAACTTGTGGGGTGACATCAAAAATGCAGTTTCTGAGGCAAAACCAAGAAATAGAGAAGAACTGTGGAATGCAGTCCAATCATCCTGGGCTGGAATACCTGTTCACAGGTGCCAGAAGTTGGTTGACTCCATGCAACACAGATGTACAGCAGTTCTCAGAAACAATGCTTATACAACTAAATATTAATTAAGTGATTCAAATGAAAGCAAAATCTTCAAACATTTTTCAGTTTATATAGTGAATGTTTGAGTTTGTAAAGAAGAATACAAACACTGCTATTTTGAACAGTCTAATATTCACTTTTCTTCAATTTTTTTAGAGGAACAACACAAATTTGATATATTTTTCTTCATGTTTTGATTTGGAATAGAATGTGTAGTGTTCCCAATGCATTTGTGTGTATGGAAATAAAAGCTATTAGAAGGATTTTGAGCTTGATTCACTTTTTTCAACACACTGCTATTATTTTGAACACAACTGTATGTATATATATATATATATATATATATATATATATATATATATATAAAAAACTATATTGCCAAAAGTATTGGGATGCCTGCCTTTACACGCACGTGAATTTTAATGGCATCCCAATTATAGTTCATAGAGTTCAAAATTGAGTTGGCCCACCCTTTGCAGCTATAACAGCTTCAACTCTTCTGGGAATGCTGTCCGCAAGGTTTAAGGGTGTGTCTCTGGGAATGTTTGACCATTCTTTCAGAAGCGCATTTGTGAGGTCAGGCACTGATGTCGGACGAGAAGGCCTGGCTCACAGTCTCTGCTCTAATTAATCCCAAAGGTGTTTTGTGGGGTTGAGGTCAGGAGTTTGTGCAGGCCAGTCAAGTTTCTCCACCCCAAACTTGCTCATCCATGTCTTTATGGACCTTGCTTTGTGCACTGGTGCACAGTCATGTTGGAACAGGACGGGCCATCCCCAAAACTGTTCCCACAAAGTAGGGAGCATGACATTGTCCAAAATGTCTTGGTATACTGATAGCTTAAGAGTTACCTTCACTGGAACTAAGGAACTATGCCTAACCCCTGAAAAACAACCCCACACCATAATCCACCCTCCACCAAGCTTTACACTTGGCACAATGCAGTCAGGCAAGTATTGTTCTCCTGGCAACCACCAAATCCAGACACATCCATCGGATTTGCAGACAGAGAAGCATGATTCGGCACTCCAGAGAACACATCTCCAGTGGCAGCTTGCTTTACACCCACTGCATCCGATGCTTTGCATTGCACTTGATGATGTAAGGCTTGGATGCAGCTGCTTGGCCATGGAAACCCATTCCATGAAGCTCTCTACGCACTGTTATTGTACCGATCTGAAGGCCACATGAAGTTTGGAGGTCTGTAACTACTGACTCTGCAGACAGTTGGCGACTTCTGCACACTGTGCGCTTCAGCATGTGCTGACCCCCCTCTGTCATTTTATGTGGCCTACCACTTCATGGCTGAGTTGTTGCTGTTCCCAGTTACTTCCACTTTGTTATAATATCACTAACAGTTGACTGTGGAATATTTAGTAGCAAGGAAATTTCAGGGATGGACTTATTGCACAGGTGGCAACCTATTATTGTACCACGCTTGAATTCACTGAGCTCCTGAGAGCGAGCCATTCTTTCATAAATGTTTGTAGAAGCAGTCTGCAGTCCTAGGTGCTGAATTTTATACACCTGTGGCCATGGAGGTGATTGGAACACCTGAATCCAATAATTTGGGGAGTGTCCCAAAACGTTTGGCAATATAGTGTACATATATATATATAAAAGCATCAAAGGCTGTCAAGCTCCAGAACCTCAAATTATACCCTTAATTTCTTTAAAATGAGTATATATCCATCACATACAATCAAAATCAGTGTCCCTCCAGTGAAAGCCCCTGGACAGTGCCCCCCCATTCCTAACCCTGGAACACCACCATGCATCCTGGTTTGGGGAAAACAGGGCTTGCACTGGAGGGACACTGATTTTGATCGTATGTGATAGATTATATACTCATTTTGAAGAAATGAAGGGTAGAATTTGATGTTCTGAATGTGGCGGCCTTTGACGCTTTACCACATGTATGGTGGACTGTGGGGGTCAGTTCAGTTGCAATAGCTTCAAAGGTAATTCATCTAGCAGCTCAATTTGTTTGAACTTGTGAATATATACTATATACCCCATATATATATATATATATATATATATATATATATATATATATATTTATATTCATAGCTTCACATAAATGTAAAGGCCAGTTGTTTCTATTAAAGCTTGCCCTTGCCAGGCAAAGTAGGTCTGATTTCCTCATATTGTTTTAAAAACAAATTAGCATTTTTTCTTTTCTCACATTTTAGAGCTTTTCATTGATTAGTAATTATATTCTCTTTCCCTTGTCGTCGTACTGTGTTTGATCCACCATCTGTCTAACCTTAGAGGTTACTAGTTGCATAAACCACCAAACTGTTGAGGATCAGATGGGAAGGACTGAATGATTTAATCACGACCCTTTCAACTGATGTTTTCTTATTTGGTCTGGTCAAGATGTCTTGCAGTATATAGAAGAGATGCTAATGCATATTTTATTGAGTCGGTGTGGGAGAAGGTAATTGCCTGTCAAAAGTGCTATTACTGACCTGAAGAATGGGAAAAGACAGGTAGATGTGTACGGGTTAACAACAAGCCTGGTGTTAGGACAAGGTTAACTTGACTTCCATGCAGGCCACGTATTGGCACAGGAGGGTTTAGGATGCATAAAACTCTATGAGTTGTGGTGTGTTTCCTGTAACATATTGAAGCATATGTTTTCAGTAGGAAGGTTTAATAGATTTAGATTAGTTTTCTGTGCACTTTAAGTAAGTATCTCATGGTTCATTAGATTGTGACATTCAGGATCACTTTTACAGGTGCACCAAGATGAATGACAGATGGTGCTTTGTAAAGCCATGTGAAAAGTTCTATAGGAAGTATACTGTTTCATCCTAATTCAGGTATACTTAATTCAGGAGAGGATCAAGGACAAGGGAGGAATCAATGGAGATTTGGGTAACCTCTCATAGGACCGAGGGCACTCCCTCCAGTGCATGCTGCCCACTGAAGCACGTAAAGAGATTCTGTCACCCATTCATAGTAAAGTGGTTTTCTTGCACGAACAACCCCTTTCCCATTGATACTTACCTTTGATATGCTCCCTTGCCGCTCCATTACCCCATAGGAGCCCTTGGTAAATAACCCCAAGGAAATACCAAGATCAGACCTCCTCTTTTTCCTCATGGTGCTCATGGAAGATCACCAAATTGATAGACCCAAACACAGCTTTAAGACCATCCAACACAGAGCTTACAACAATAGGGTTGGGACTTTCAGCTCAGAGTAATGGAGTGATGAAGGAGCATGGCAAATGTATCAGTGGGCAAGGGGGGGGGGGGGGTTATTCTTTCCAGACAACCTGTTGCTTTGCCCTGAATGGGAAAAATGACAAAGTCTACTTGCATTCCTAACCTGGTCAGTTATAAGTCCTATGGCCTGTGCATCTATAGTTCACTACAGTTTTCCTGCTGATGGGGACAAAAAAAAGGCCTGGAAAGAAGAAAAATTGTCTCATGCCAGCCATAGGGGACACCACCTAAGATGAGATCTTTATCATGAAACTTATCATTAGGCACTTTAGGACCAGTATTGATTTCACTCCATAGTGAATTCAGGTCCTGGTCAACTTACACAACCTGGTTTGACTAAATAGACCACATTTCATGGGTCCCATTAACCTGTAGACAGGTTTGCATTTTGTGTTGTGAGATTTGGGGGATGTGTCTAAGAGCTTGGCTTTATGCTAGAAATAGTCTCTAGTGAGCACCTTGGTTCAGGGGCCCCCAAGGGGCACAGGAGATAAAAAATAAAAATAGTGTATATTTACAGCACCTGGTGGTACCCTCTATTAGGGGAATATGCCTCTCTGATAGCGGTGTTGTAGAAGTGGGTTTAGATTCGGGGGTCTATAACATTCAATAAAGATGAAAGAAAGGATTATACCTGCTATGTAAAGTGAAAGAAAATAAATTCTTACTAAACACTTACTCTAGGTTCACTTCTGTGAGGGTGTGAGAGTGTGTTCAAATCAAATCCGTTCCTGCGCCATCACACATCCGCACAAAAAATGCCCCACTTTTAGGAAAATGCACGGGGGTGCTATTAACTCTCAATGGAACCCCCATGCACTGAAAAACATGATGTGATTTCCCGAACACGGAAATGCATGGTGTCAAAGCACCATGTGGTTTCTATATAGCTGCATTTTAAAAAAGGTTCAGAGACCTTATTCGTGCAGGAAACACTGGAACAGCCACCCATTCAGATGAATGGGATGCTGTGCCTGCACAAATGTGGCATGTAGAACTGCAAAGATGTGAACCAAGACTTAGAAAGCTTCTTTGTGTTGTTTGGATGTGATAAGAATCCTAACTGCTGTTTTGTGTTGTAAAGATTGCTGTGAAGTATCCCCAACATCCCTTTGGCCATGCATACATATATCAGATTTTATTTTTATAAGGATCCACTGGAAAAGCTCTAAAACTTAGTGAAGCAGAAAAATACTGAAGCTTTTGGGTCGGCCTGAACTAGTCTGGGAAATTGGAAAGCAATGGTTAGCAATGCCATACCTCACTACACGGTTTCTTTAAAGTGCTTGTCAGCAAACTGAAACAATAAAAGCCATACCTATGAGAAGACGTGGATAACTACCTTTCCTTCTGCCCGTGCCCCCGACTACTGATCTGTTGAAGAGGAATGAAGTCTTCTTCAGAAGCAAACAATTCTGACACTGTTGATGATCTCCTGGTCATTCTCAATGCTTAGAGGTCCCGCCTGACAACCTCCATGTCACTACAGGTGGTGTGTGCAGCAGGGAAAGTAAGTATTCACTGTCTTTTTTACAGGTAAAGCTTTTTTGAGAGCTTGTATTCTAACACGAACCCTACTCAGACTTGCAAAGTCTTTTAGTAATCCATGCACAATGTGCAAATACTACTAAAAAAAAAACTAAAGGCTAATACAGTTCCTCTTTAACATGTACCTATCTAAAGCAACTAGCATGTAATATAGTATTAAAAAAAACAGTATAATAAAAAGTTGAAGAAAAGTCATAATTCCCTATTTTCATACTCATATAGAATAATTCTAGGAAACAAAGCAGGCATAATAAGCAGGCAGCTAATTTTCAGGCCAGTAGTGGCTGCCTATATGTAGGCAAGCTGCCTACTGTTAGCTGGCTAGAGCGCTGCTTCAGTAGGGAAAGAGTTAATATGCTATGCACCGTTCCACAGGTTTTCTCTTGGCTGGCTTTTTTGGTGTTCAAAACCAACGGTCCTGTAACATATACCGGTAAAAAAGGAACATGGGTCCAGAACCCGGGGGGGCATTCTTGCTTGTCTCTGCGAGTTTTGCCGTTGTTCTTGGGCCTGAGTCTTGGAGCCTTCAACGTGTAGGGGGCTGCTGGGGCCCGCAGTCTGCCCTGAAACGCACCATCTGCTGGAGTACTGCCAAAATGGACTTGCCTATACATGGAAATCACCTCTCCAGGTACACTGGGGCAGCCAACCTGAGTTAGGGACTAGGATAGGGAAGAACTGTTATGCTGTTGACTGTAATGGCTAAGTTATTCCAAATAAAGCTTTGAAACATTTCCTTGTCTTGTCTGAAAGTATTAAAGGGGTGTGTGGAAGTAAATGCCAACCACATTTAGTCTACAGTTGGGGTCAGTAAGGCACATTAGGGTATGAAGACAACACTCTTAGAGTCAAACTGGTGCAAAGAACAGCATGTGGTTACCAAGGGTATCAAAGGTCTAGTATGCAGCCTGTCGTGGAGCGTGTACCTATGACAGGTGGGAAGTCCTCTTGCAGCGATAAAGTTGTTGTCTGCTCTCTCCCCTGGCGGCCCATCTCCCCTAGCAATAGGGGAAGATCTGCACCGCAGAGCTCGTGCACTAGATACGGTAGAGGAAGAGTTAATGAAGAGCATGCATGGTATCTGTGCTAGGTGCTTGGTGGGGCTGAGAGCGAGTTACCGGACATACAATGGGAAGGTGGAGTGGGCATAGGCTCAGTGTGTCCCCCCTAAATGCAACAGTGACAGCAAGGTGTACATTGACACGGGGATAGAGAGAGTTAACTGAACTCCAATTTATTGCTCAAGTTTTACATGGTGTACAGCCATGTCTAAGTTGGAGGGCCTGCCTAAGGGTTGAGGTATTTGTGAAAGTGGCCTCCGCCTTGTCATAGGGCATTGATATGCATGGTAACCCATGTGCAGGAGAATGACCTCTGAATACGTGCCTAGCATAGCCTAGAGGAACCCAGGGGCTCTCCCTCCCGGAGTCAACCCACAACATGGCTCTCAATTACAGCTTATTGAGAGGCTCCAACTCCCCTGTCTCATATACATATTTCTTTCATGATAGTGATCCTTTAAATTTAGAACATAGTTCTGTAGTGCCATATGTAGTGAAACACCCGTAGGGGCCACTGGTAATAGCTGGTTCTTTCCCAAGTAGTATAGAGGCTGCCTCTCCCCAAAGCACCCAGTGCATGTACACCGGCTCCAGTAACACAGTCTAGGGGATGTCTTTTTGTTATTTATTGTTTGAAGAACTTTAAACAGGTGTGGGGTTAGGGCATGGGATG